AAAAAAAAAAAAAACTGTATAGAGCTGGGAGAGAGAGAAAAGGGGGGACCCCCAGAGAATAACAATAAAAATAAGGAGAAGAGCGCAAGGTGCAGCCAAAGGCGTACAGAAAGGTGGGAAGACAGAGCTGGGAATTCTACCTCTACACCTTATCAATTTCCTTGTTTTTGTAAAGTATAAGTCTATGAGAAGAAAATAAAAATTACAGAAGAAATGAAAAATAAAAGTACAAAAGGAACCGGCCTAAGGGGACCCAAACGGGGACAATTTAAAAAGTATACATCCCAGGGAAATGTGACCCCAGAAAGGCCCCAGAGCAGAAATGATAGAGTCTGATTTAAGTATGCAAAATAGTCCTAAACAATCACTGGAATTGGATATATCAGTAATCAGCAAATATCAGAGACAGAAAAAGACCTACAAATCCCAAATAAAAAAGAGATGACAGAAATGTTTAAAGATCTGGAGAACAATAAAGCAAGAAATGGTAAATATTCGGAATGACCTGGAGCAGTTGTTGTTAAGAGTGGAAGAAACGGAGCAAAAAGTTGAAAATCAGACCCAGATTATTTCCGAATTAGAGAACATAATTAATATGGAAAAAACTCAGGAAAAATTGCAGTAGAAGGCAGAAATCCAAGAGAGAATAGAGAAAGAAGGAGAAACATAAAGATAAGAGGGGGTACCGGAAAGTTTAAAAGGAGAAATATTGGAAGAGATGGTCTGCAAAATACTGAACTATATAATGGAAAACTCTGAAATGGAAAGGACTAATATAGAAAGAATCTCAAGAAATGGGAAACTCCAGGGGAATTATGAGAAGGACAGGCCGAGAGACATACTTGTAAAATTTTATGAATTACAGCAAAGGGAAAGACTCTGGAGGAAAACTAAGGGAAAATCAGTTATAAAGTATGGAGGAATGGATATTCAAATATATGCGGACTTGTCACTAGAGACTCTCCGAGGAGGAGAGCTCTGAGGCCTTTGCTGGAGCAGATGAAAAAAAACAGAAGGTGCAATATAGATGGGGAGTTCCGGAGAGTTTAATAGGATGGAAAAATGGAATAACAGCCCATTTGAGGTTCCCAGAGGACTTGAAATTTTTGTGATAGACTTGAAATGCAGAAAATTGAAATAAACGGTTGGGAAGAAGAATCTGGGGAAATAGATCAAAAAGAGGGGAGGGGTGGAGGAGGGACGGGGAGGGTTAGTGAAGAGGAGAGAAGTTTTTTTTTTTTTCCCTCTCTCTCCTTGCTCCCATTCCGTCGCCTTTTTTCTCCCTTGTCCCTCCAGCCTGACTCCTTTCTTTTCCTTTTTTAGAAAGTACAAGTAGAGAGGAGGTCAAGGGGGGATCCGAAGGGAGGGGAGGCAGTCCATGGGAGGAGTGAAGCCCTAAGGATTAAGTCAAAGGTGGATGCTACCTCCACAAATGACGGTTAGGCAAAGTGAAGGCCTAAAAAGAGGGGGGGAGGAGGGGGAGAGGAAGTGGATTGAGGGGTGTATGGAGAGAGGGGGGGAGGGAAAAAGGGGAGAGAAAAGGGTAGAGGGATAAAAACGCTCCATAGGAATAAGAAAGAGGAAGGAAAGGAGGAAGTAGGAGACGGTAGAAAAAGAGTAAGATGGAAGAAATCCAATATATAAACTACAATGTAAAAGGGTTAAGCTGTCCAGGAAAGAGATTCAGGTTATTTAAAGAACTCCAACATAGAAAATCCTCAGTGGTTTTCTTGCAGGAAACACATTTAGAGATAGAGTCGAAGGTTAGACTGAGGACAGATATTTTCCAACATGGTTCTATGCGGATTCACCAACTAAAAGAGCAAAAGGAGTTGCTATAGGATTCGCAAAGAATATAAGGTTCGAGCTGGAGGAGAGATTAACGGATCTGAGGGAAGGTTTTTATTTTTGAGAGGTAAATTACAGGGAATTGAGTGTACAATAGCAAACATATACAGCCCAAATAAGAAGCCGGAGAGGTTTATGAGAGAAGTGTTGAAGAGATTGATGGATTTTAAAAGTGGGTGTATGATAGTAGCGGGCGACCTAAACATCTGTATGGACCTGCGGATGGACACCACTTCCTCTGTGAGGAGGGAGGAAAGCAAATCCTTGAGAATGTCTCCTTCCTGCCTCATGTCAAATCACTTACAAACACCTGCAGGCTCCATCTCCGCAATATCGCCAAGATACGTACCTTCCTCACCACCCGGACACCACCAAACTTCTTGTACACTGCCTCATCATCTCACGCCTTGACTATTGCAACTCTCTTCTCACTGGCCTACCCAAGTGCAGGCTCTCCCCGCTCCAAACCATCCTGAACTCAGCGGCCAGACTCAGCCACCTCACCACCCGCTCCACCTCTGCCACCCCCCTCTGCCTCTCCCTCCACTGGCTCCCGATTGCCCAACGCATCAAATTCAAACTACTCACTCTGACCTACAAAGCCATTCACAACACTGCCCCTGACTACCTCACCAACCTGATCCCCAAGTACCACCCTACCCGTACCCTTCGCTCCTCACAGGACCTCCTTCTATCCTGCTCCCTGGTCTCCTCCTCCCATGCACGACTGCAGGACTTCTCCAGGTCCTCCCCTATCCTCTGGAACTCACTGCCCCAATCCATCCAACTGTTGCCTTCCCTCCCCACATTCAGGCGCTCCCTCAAAACCCATCTCTTCAGGGAAGCCTACCCCACCCTCACCTAACGGCCATCCTCCCTCATTCCTCCCACCTCTTCATCCTCCTCAGCCACTTCCTATTGTTTCCACTACCCCCTCCCTCCTAGATTGTAAGCTTGAAAGAGTAGGGCCCTCTTACCCCTCGTACGCTGTCTGTTTTTGTTGTACTGTGCCATGTATTGTCCCCCCTATTGTACAGCGCTGAGCAAACCCTTTGGCGCTATATAAACTCGATGTAATAATAATAATAATAATAACAATGTTAAAGAAATTGATGCATGAGTGTCAGCTGGTAGACATCTGGAGAATTAGGAATATGAAGGAGAGAGATTATACTTTCTTTTCGCACGTTCATGAGACTTATTCTAGATTAGATTATATATTAGTAGAACATCGAATGATAGAGTTGGTGGTAGAAGTAAAAATTGAAGGAAGTACCCTGTCAGATCATGCCCCACCAATTGCAATGAAGTTGAGATGGGGTAGAGAAAGGAGAGAAGGTTATGTATGGCGGTTTGAATGAGGCACTTCTCATGGAGGAAGAGATTGGTCAAAGAATTGAGAGGGAAATTGAATGATTTTTTGAAGAGAATGAAACAGAGGATGTGTCGGTTGCAACGGTGTGGGAAGCACATAAAGTTTATATCAGAGGTCTACTTATTGCAATGGGAGCAAAAAAGAAAAAAGAAAGGAGAGAAAAGATAGATTATTAAATGAAATAAAATGATCTTGAACAAGTGCAAATAAAAGGGAAAGATCTAAGGAGATAATGCAGATGTTAATAAAGAAGAAAGAAGAATTAGAGAATGTAATGGAGGAGGAAAAAAGAAGAATCTTTAATAAAATAACAAGTGAAAGATATAGATGGGGAGACAGGCCGGGAAAGTATTTTAATGAAAAAGAAGAAAAATAGAAATTATAATTGAGAAAATAAGAAATCCCAAGGGGGAACTTGTACATTCAACCAAGGATATTGCTAGAACATTTAAAGAGTATTATAATGAGCCTGTATAATATTATACCCCAGGATACGTTTAAGAAAATGGAAACAGTAAATAGAGGGGAAAGAAAGATATATCTAGAGGAGGCAGCCTACCGAAAATTAGAGAAACACAACTGAACTCTTTAGAGGCAGAAATACACTTCCGAGGAAATAAAAATAGCATTAGAATGCATGGCGGGAGGGGAAAAGCCCGGGTCCGGATGGATATACGGCCAAATACTATAAAAAATATAAAGAGCTTTTAATACCCAAAATGAAGATCTATATGAATGCCTTGGGGAATGGGATGGAGATGAAGGGGAGAGTCTTTCCAGGCGAATATAGTATTGATACAGAAGGATGATAAAGACCCCACGCAATGTGCGAGTTATCGTCCAATAGCGCTGCTGAATGTAGACACTAAAATATATGCCAAAGGTTTTCTGGCAAATAGACTGAAAGAGCTGATGCCGGAGTGGATACATGGAGACCAGGTAGGGGTTTGTCTTGGGAAGAGAGGGTAGAGATAATGCAATTGAGAATCTTTTGAGATCATTGTTGCTTATACAGGAGGACAACAAAAAAAGGGAAAACCCCAATGACACTGATGTCAATAGATGCTGAGAAGGCATTTGACAGAGTGAGCTGGGGTTTTATGATGGACACTTTTGGAAAACGTTAGGAATGGGAGATAAAATGAGAGGCTGGATTGGAGAGTTATACAGAGGGCCTACCAGCTACCATAATGCGTAAAATAGAGGAAGAGATCAGAGTATTTTAAGATGTCAAAACGACAGGGATGTCCATTGTCTCCATTGCTATATGAGCTTATCACTGGAGCCCTTACTGTTTAGGATTAGGAAGAACATAGACATAAAAAGGAATAAAGATAGGAGATAGAGAACATAAGGTAGTGGCTTATGCGGACGATTTGATGTTTTAATGTTGGAAACTAGAGATGAGCGAAGTATTCAAAAATTCGATTCGACTGATTCGGCGGAATTCCGTGTGGAAAATATTCGATTCGAGTCCGAATATATTCGCTGTGAATTTTAACTTAAAAAAGGGTGTTTCTAGGCTTCAGAGAGAGACTTAATATTAGTGCAGCGAACACTGAACCTTTAATTTAAATGCCACTTTGGGAGTCTGCTGGGGAAGAGAAATAATACTGTCAGTCAGTATGACAATGCAGATGAGTGCCCGTCGATCATAGAATCACCTGCACACTTCACACTCATTTGGCCAGTCACTGGGGGCCAAAAACCAGTGTTTGGAGCCACAGTGTGGCGGTGGAGGCAGCAGGCAATGGGAGGCCATACAGCAATCCTATGACAAAAAATGGAAACCAGCAGGAGTGTGAGGAGACCTCATCAAAGTGGGCACATGGCAGAGTGCGGGAAGCAATGGGGAGGTCGGTACAGGGAACCCAGTGTCACACTGTGGACCCAGCAGCAGCGTGACGAGGGCGGTAACGGGGGCCCATGGCCAGATTTGGGGCCCTGGCAGCACCCTATGGGAGGCCTGTAATCGGCCTAGCAACCTATGACAAAATGGAAACCAGCAGGAGTGTGAGGAGACCTGAAAAAGTGGCACAGGCAAGAGTGTGGCGATGGAGACAGCAGCAATGGGAGGCCGTACAGGGACCCAATGAGTGACTCTGGACCTGGCAGCAGCATGAGGAGGCGGTATATAGGGGCCCATGGCAGATTAGGGGCCTGGCAGCAGCTATGGGAGGCCCCGTAATCTGCCAGCACCCTATGTCAAAAAATTCAACACACACCAGCAGTGTGTGAGGAGACCATGAAAGTAGTGGCACATGGCAGAGTGTGGGCGATGGAGACAGCAGCAATGGGAGGCCGTACAGGGACCCATGAGAGACTGTGACTGGGACCCTGGCAGCAGCAAGGAGGAGGCGGTATAGGGGCCCATGGCAGATTAGTGGGGCCTGGCAGCAGCTATAGGAGGCCCGTAATCTGCCAGCACTCTATGACAAAAAATTGAACACACCAGCAGTGTGTGAGGAGACCTGAAAGTGCACATGGCAGAGTGTGGCGATGGAGACAGCAGCAATGGTGAGGCCGTACCAGGGACCCATGAGAGACTCTGGACCTGGCAGCAGCATGAGGAGGCGGTATAGGGGCCCATGGCAGATTAGGGGCCTGGCAGCAGCTATAGGAGGCCCGTAATCTGCCAGCACCTTATGACAAAAAAATTGAACACACCAGCAGTGTGAGGAGACCTGAAAGTGGACACATGGCAGAGTGTGGCGATGGAGACAGCAGCAATGGGAGGCACGCGTACAGGTTGACCCATGAGAGACTCTGGACTTTGGCCCAGCAGATAAGCATGAGGAGGCGTATAGGAGGGCCCATGGCAGATTAGGGGCCTGGCAGCAAGCTATGGGAGGCCTGTAAGGGGCCTCTGCCAGCACCCTATGACAAAAAATGGAACACACCAGCAGTGTGAGGAGACCTGAAAGTGGCACTATGTTTTGGGGCATGATTCATGGCGGATTTAGTCAGTTGTGTCAGGAACTGGTGGTTTGAAATCCAGACTAATCCACGCCTGATTCATTTTCACAAACGTGAGTCTCTCCACACTTTGGTGTGGACAGTCGTGTCCTCTTCTGCGGAGTTGCAATACCTCCTGCCGGCACTAAAACACGCCTCCGATGCCACGCTACTGGGCCGGGCGACAGCCTTTCAAGGGCCAAATTCAGCTAGTTGGGGCCAAAGGTCAAGTTTCGTTGCCCAGATGTCAAGGGGGGATTGTCTACCTCGGTTGGGCAGGGTGCTGTCCAAGTAGGCCCAAGCCTGTTGTTTGAGGTCCTTGCTCCAGGTCCACCTGATCTGCTGCTGTGATGCTGCGGCTGGTTAGTAGTTTCCTCACTGCGCTGGTGAAGAAAGCTACTCATCATCGACTGCAAGACTGAGGCAGCCGTCTGCGCTGTGTGGAGCTGCCACTGCTCCTCACCCACCCCACCCCTCCCCTGCTGCCATGGCAGCGGAAACCCGAGCTCGCACAGGTCCCACAGTGTCTGAGGATGGACGTTGGCGCAGACAGGCAGAGACCAGCTGACTACATAGGTGGTTTTTATAGTACGTTATTTTGGCCTCCCCTCAGCAGGTGTGAAAAAGGCCACCATTTTTGTGAAGGTAGCCAAGGGTCCAACAAGGTGGACAGCCAAAAGTCATCCCTCTGTCTGAAGGTTATTATTCGGCTGTTGGTACGCAAGCAAGCGAGCATGCGCTATGGGCCATTGCTGTGCCCAAGGAATGCCGAGGGACTCCCTGCCTCCATCTCCACAGCATACTGCCACCACGGTGCCGTCCTGGAGTCCTCTGTCTCCTCTTCCTCCTCCTCTACCAGATGCCTCCTGCTCCTCCACTCCTGTCCGCTGAGTGGAAAAACCACCCATTTCATCTCAATAATTCCTGAGCACCAATGTCCTCCTCTACCTCCTCCTCTTTCTTCCTGTCCTGCCCCCACAGGGGTTCATGTGGCATTGAGAAATCTGTGCCGCCACGTCCAAAACCGCACCCTGACCAGTCCATTGTTAACAGCATTTGGTTCCAGGACGTGCAACAGAAGGAATGACGTGCTGTTCATCCCATAGTCCTGCCGACTCACAGATAATAGCGTGCCTCCTCAAAGGGCCTGAGCAAGCGCGCAGGTGTACTACCGCATGAGCTGCCCAATGGCTGACATCTAAGTTACACAGGGGAGTAACCTTTATCCGCATTTAAACATCAGGAAATCTGTGATGGCCTTTTTGCTGTTCGTAAAAGGACGGTCCTAAACATATATAGGGTTGAAATTCCTCCACATTGTTTGCAAACGTCAACTAAGCATGAGGAGTATCCGAACGGGGGCCCATGGCAGATTAGGGGCCTGTCAGCAGCTATGGGAGGCCCGTAATCTGCCAGCACCTCACTGTCAAAAAAATTCAAACACACCAGCAGTGGTGAGGAGACCTGAAAGTGGCACCTGGCAGAGTGTGGCGGATGGAGACAGCAGCAATGGGAGGCCGTACTAAGGGACCACATGTACAGAATGCTGACTTGGCAGCAGCATAGAAGGAAGCGTTTATGAAAATGGCCCAATGGGCAGATTAAGGGGCCTGGCAGCGAGCTATGGGAGGACGCCCGTAATCTGCCAGCACCCTAATGTCCAAAAAATTCAACACACCAGCAGTGTATGAGTAGACCTGAAAAGTGGCACATGGCATGAGACACTGCGTGGACATGGCAAAGCAGCATGAGAGAGCGGTACAGTGGCCCATGGCAGATTTAGGGGCCTGGCTGCAGCTATAGGAGGGCCCGTGAATCTGCCAGCACCCTATGACAAAAAAATGGAACACAACCCAGCAGTGTTGAGGAGAACCTGACAAGTGGCACATGGCAGAGTGATAGGCGATGGTAGACACAGTCAGCAATTGGGGTAGCCGGTACAAGGGACCCATGACAGACTCCTGGGACCTTGGCAGCAGCATGAGGAGTGCGGTATAAATGGTGCCCCATGTGGCAGATTAGGGTGCCTTGCAGCAGCTAATGGGAGACCCGTAAGCTGCCCAGCACCCTAATGTCAAAAAAATTGAAACACAACCAGCAGGTGTGATGAGACCTGTAAAGAGTGGCACAATGGCAAGAGACACTGTATGTGACCCTGGCAGCAGCCATGAGGATGCGGTACAGGGGCCCATGGCAGTCAATTCAATGGGCCTAGGCAGCAAGCTACTACGGAGGCCCGGTAATCTGCCAGCACGCCTATGACAAAAAGATTGGAACACACCAGCAGTGTGAGGAGACCTGAAAGTTGGCAGACATGGTGCAGAGTGTTGTTGCGATGTGGGTGAGACAGCATCAATTGGGAGGCCGTACAGGGACCCATAGACAGACTCTGGACCTGGCATGCAGCATAGAGGAGGCGGTATAAAGGGGGGGTGCCCATTGGCAAAGATTAGGGCCTTTAAGGAGCACATGGCAGCAGCTATGGGAGGCCCACGTAATCTGCCAGCACCCCCTATTGTCAAAAAAAATTCAAACACACCAGCAGTGTGAGGAGACCTGAAAGTGTGCACATGGTCGAGTGTGGCGATAGGAGTGACAGCAGCATCTATGGAGAGCCGTTAAAGGGACCCCAACTGACATGACTCCTTGGACCTGGCAGCAGCATGAGGAGGCGGTATAGGGCGCCGTCATTGCAGATTAGGGGCGCTTTGCAAGCAGCTATGTGGAGTGGCCCTGAAAATTCTGCCAGACACCCTATGTCAAAAAATTTCAACAACACACCAGCCAGTGCGTTGAACAGAGACCCTGAAAGTGGCACATGAGCGCAGAGTGTGGTCAATGGAGACAGCAAGCAATGGGCGAGGCCGTACAGTGGACCCATGAGAGACTCAGGACTTGGCAGCAGTCAATGAAGGGATGCGGTATATAAAGGTGCCCATGGCAGATTAAGGGGCCTGTGCAGCAGCTATGGGAGCCCGTAATCTGCCAGCAAAACCCTACTGTCAAAAAATTTCAACAACACCAGCAGTGTAGTCGAGGAACACCTGAAAGGTGGCAGCATGGCAGAGTGTGGCGATAGGAGAACAGCAGCAAATGGGAGGTCCGTACAGGAACCCAATGAGAGCCTCTGGACCAGGCAGCAGCATGAGGAGGCGGTATATAGGGGCACCTTGAATGAGACAGGAATAATGGGCCTTGGCAGCAGCTGATGGTAGGTCGCCGTAATCTGCCAGCAAACCTATGGCTTCAAAAAAATTCAAACACACCAGCAGTGTGTGAGGAGACCTTGAAAGTGACACAGACATGAGTGTGGCGATGGAGACAGAGCAGCAATGGGAGTCCGTACAAGGGACCACATGAGAGACTCAGGAACCTGGCAGCAGCATGAGGTGAGGCGGAGTTATTAGGGGCCCATGGCCAGATTAGGAGGCCTGGCAGCAGCTATGTGGAGGCCCGTAATCTGCCCAGACACCCTATGTCAAAAATATCTCAACACACCAGCATTTGTGTGATGAGAGACCTGAAAGTGGTGCACATGCAAGAGTGTGAGTCGAATGGAGACAGCAAGCAATGGGGAGAGCCGTACAGGGACCCCATGAGAGGACTCTGGACCTGAGCAGCCAAGCATGAGTGAGCAGTATATAGGGCCCTCAAGGCAAGATTAGTGGGCCCTGGCAGCAGCTATGGGAGGCCCGTAATCTGCCAGCAACCCTATGTCAAAAAAAAATTCAACACACACCAGCAGTGTGTGAGGTAGACCTGCAAGTGGGCACATTGTGCAGAGTGTAGGCGATGGAGAACAGCAGCAATGGGAGGCGCGTACAGGGACCCATGAGAGCACATCTGGACCAGGCAGCAGCATGCGAGGAGGCGGTATACTATGGGCCCTATGGCAGATTAGTAGGTGAGCCTGGCATCAGCTATGGGAGGCCCATAATCCATGCCAGCACCCTATGTCAAAAAAATTCAACAACACCAGCAGTGTGTGAGGAGGACCTGACAGTGGACAACATGCAGAGAGTGTGGGCGATGGATAGCAGCAGCAATGAGGAGTGCCGTACCGAACAGGACCCATGAGAGGACTCTGGACCTGGCAGCAGCAAGAGAGGAGGCGGTAATATAGTGGGCCCATGGCAGATTAGGGGTCCTGGCAAGCAGCTAATGGGAGGCCATGTAATCTGCCAGCACCCTATGTCAAAAAATTCAACACAGAACCAGCAGTGTGTGAGGAGACCTAAAGGTGGCAAAATGGCAGAGTGTGGCCGATGGAGACAGACAGAATGGGAGGGCCGTACAGGGACCCATGAAGAGACACAGGACCTGGCAGCAGCATGAGAGGCGGTATATAGGGGCCCATGGCAGATTAGGGGCCTGCACAGCTTATGGGAGGCCGGTATCTGCCAGCACACCCTATGTCAAAAAATTCAACACACCAGCAGGTGAGGAGACCTGAAAGAGGCACTGGCAAGGGGTGTGGCGATGGAAACAGCAACAATTAGGCCGTTTCGGGACCCATGAGAGACTCTGGACTTGGCACAGAAAAGAAAAGGGCGGGAAAAAGGGGGGCCCCTGGGGAGATTTGGGGGGCCGGCCAGCTATGGGGGGCCCCTTAAA